AGGGAGCACAAGAGGAATGTTCTCAGCCAACAAAATGTGAAAGCAAAAATTGGTGGTGTGCGGTCCAGGAGTCACATTTGGGTTACTGGGGGCTGCATAGGGACCACATGCTACAATGAATGTGATGCTGTAGCAGAGAAATTATAATGGTGTCATTACACAGAGAATACTTTGAGAAAGAATGAGTTTGCACATTCATCTGATGGTTGACTAATGAAAAGCATGTAAGTGAATGATCCCTACCCATGACATTCCAAATCTTTTCATGGTGGAACCCACAAGTTCTATGGAACTTAGTATGAATGCTATTACAACTATTATCTGTAAAACAAATACACAATAATAATGAAGCACAAATTGAGGGCAAGCAGAGACAACCACTACAATTCTGAGGTGGGATTAATAACAAACATAACATCACACAGACACCATACTTGTTCAGCAATGCAGCTTCGGTGTCCTTGAAACGTGAAAAAATCCTCTTGACAGGATTATAAAGCCAAGGGAATTTCTAAACGCTTTCCCAATACATATAGTAGAATGTGATCAACTTAGAATCTATCCAAACAGCGTTTAGGTCCTGTGCATATATTAAGTAACATATTGGTCTCAAGGCCAAAGCACTCCTAAGTAAGGAGTACAATTAGCAAACTTAAAGATAAAAGAGGTGGAACAAGACAGTTGTCAGACACAATGGTTTATTCAACCAATTTTTCCAGTTTTCAGAATATCTTGGAGAGAGAAGATAATTCTAATCCTGTTCTATTTGTTATGACAAGAGGAAAATCAAAACTTTGGAATAACCTATTGATCATTTGATTAGCAGTCATTCATTTAGATAGTTCTTATATCTCTACTGAAAAAAAGGTGCTTTGTAGACACAAATCGATATTTCCAGAGTGCCAGATCAATCATCCAAAGTAGTATCATGAACTCTGCACTAAATTAATTTAATTTAAATATGACTCCTGACAACAAACAACTATTTTTACTCCTAGATATACAGTGTGTACAGAAATGATCTGGACACCTTATATCCTCTTCCCACCAGTAGGAGCTGAATAATTAACCTAGTGGTGTCTGTGCTCCCTCACCCTCACCCAAGAAAAAAAGTTTGCCCACTCAAAGGCTATACATGAAATTTCAAGGATGTAGGGGTCACCACCTCCATGCAGATTTGCTCATTTCCTTAACTGTGTCATGAACACTTGCAGGAGTGGACTTTTTCATATTTTTGGACTGCTTCTCTGGCCTTGCTTCATGTTACTGAATTCTGAAGGAGGAGGAAGAGGAGGAGGAGGCAGAGGAGGAAGAGGTGGTGGTGGTGGTGGTGTTTCCCTGGAGCTGTAATTCTTCCTGACGAACCCAAAGTGTGTGACTATGTGTGACTATGGCTCCCAGGAAGCACTGCAGCCGCTTGGATTTTTTTAAAAGATTTTTTAAAATAAAATGGCAAAGGCTGGAAAAGACAACTGTGCTGGTAAATAAAAGTCTTCCATGGAGGAAGTGGGGAGCAAATCTATAGGCGGTTGCAAATTTGAGCTAGTGCACCCCAATTCCCAAATTTCTAAAAGAATTATGGGGATTGCAGTACAAATCACAAAAGAGCATATCCCCGGTCACTTGTGTTATTTAATTCTCCATCCCCTAATTGTCCACCGCTGTTGGAATATAGCACTGGCCTGTAGGCTACTAAGTAATAGGATAAGTGTTTGTTCACAAACATTTTACCCAGTTAAGAGAAGATAATTCTGGGTGAAGCCAGAAAAAGCTGAAACTATTGCCTGGCTTGAGTTCTGTGGAAGCAGGCTCAACATGCTTGCTACTCAATTTTGGACAAAGATTTAAGCAGCCTTTCTCTGTTATGGGATGCAAGGCTTTGAAATAAATTTGTTAACTATTAGCTCATTACCCAAGTTGTTTTACAAAATCCATGTAAATCATTAAAGCAACGTTATCAACAGCAGGTTGAAAAAGATTAATGTTTCACATTCTTTTGTTATCATTATTAGTATTAATACAACCAGAATGTTATCAGAGTGGGTTCATAAGTTAATTTTTCTTCTTCTTTTGATTGTAAATTGCCTAGAGTAGTACCTGGCACTAAATCAGATGGTATATAAATATTGGAAATAAAAGAAATAAATCAATAAGCCAACATGCTATTAATAATTAATGCAAGCAATGTAATAATCTACAAAAATCTTGAGTGACAACAATAAATTAATTTTCAAATTAACATTAATGGTAACACATTAACTTCATTGCAAACACTGCCAAGCTCTGATGTGTCACTACTTCATCTGTCAAGCACAGAGGAAAGTTTGTGAACATAGATCTCATTCTGTTATGAACCACATAAGCACAGATTTGGATCAGAGTTAAATTAAAATAAATGTTTTGTCTGTCTGTAGAATACACGTGAGGGGTTTCTGTTGACCTGGTAACAATCTTTTCATAAACTAAGGTGACTGTCTTCTGCCACTAAACAATTAGAAAAGTCTTTTTTTTTTTCAGGTTTGGGGCAAGCCCCCATACCCTCTCCCTGTGTTTTTGTTTGCTTCCATTGTTTTGTTTGTGCTCTCTCTTTCTCTCTCTGAACATCAGTCATGACCTTCCCAGCTTGAATTACCTGTTGAATAGAAAGGACAACAGAAAGGCCACACCTTGTAGCCAACCTTATTGCTGCTGGAACTGTGGGAGGAAGGGCCAACTAGCTAAAGAATGCTCAGCTCCCAGAGATCTTTCAACCAAGAAACAAAGGATCAGAGAAAACATATAAAACCTGATTGTAACAGAGAGACAAAAGGAAAACCCAGCAAGAGTTCCAAATGGAGAATCTCCATGGCTTATGGACAGTGCACAGTAAAGAAAAATAGTATATTCTCAAGCTTTTAGTTCCAGTGTTATCTACAAACTGAGTCTTCAAGATCAGCAGCAGCTAATATAGTACAACCCCAGAGAGGGAGACACCAGGCAGGAGCTCTGGCACTTGCTTTGCATGTGATTCAAATGTGGTTCTCCAGCTGCAGAACCACAGCCTTGCTACAAGCATTAAGGGAAAGCCACATGATGCAAAGAACACAACCAGGTGCATAAGCTGTATCACAGAAAAAGGCATTAGACCCTTATTCCAACTAAGGACTGAAAGAAAGTCCTGGATCTAATACATAGTGATTTGTGTGGGCCACTTAATGTACTCTCACTGGTGTCACCTACCAGCTAAAGGAGAAGAGTGAGACACATGGCATCCTTAAGATGTACATGGCCACTATAAGCAAATTTGAAAGAAAACCCAGGGCATTTCAGATGGACAATGGTGGTGAGCACCTCTTGCAGCACACACTTCTTTCTGGAGGAACAAGGCATTTTCCACAGAATGGAATATGTAGTTGAAAGGAAAATAAGACCTCTTTTGGAGATGACAAGATGCATGCTTACCCAACAAAATGTTGTGGTGGTGCAATCATGACTGCAACATATCTCCAGAACATACTGCCAACCAAAGACACCACAAAATCACCGTTTGAGTTATGGCATGGCAGAGTGCCTAGTGTGAAACACATTACATTGTCTGGAAACCTGGCAAATAAAACTACTGCTACTACTAATATGCCTACATACCAAAACAGAAAACAACTCTAGAACAGAACAAGCTGATTTGCTTGCCTATGCCCCTGGCAACAAAGGCTATAAAGTAATGAATTTAAAACAGGTGAGGTCAACATAAGACACGAGGTTCATTTGGATGAACAAAGGAAAGCTGATAAAATAGATATTGTGTTACTGAAGAGCAAGACCAATGTGTTGGACACCTACTAGACACAACAGGGCCAAGACTTCACAACCTGAGTCAAACAGAGAGCAAGAAAATAATGACACACAGGACGAGAGCAGTACACCACACAAAGGGGACAGAGATGGTGATGTCAAGGCTGTTGAACTGGAAGAAGCACTGGTGCCACAACATGCCAGCCATCAGACACCCATCACTAGAGGTGTATCAGCTCCGTGCCTGACCTACCTTGCAAAGTTCTCACTAATTAATGACCCAGCAATCTAGGAAGAAACTGAACAGATGCCAGTAGCTAAAGCTGCCAGATGGACAGAATATTCTAGAGAAGAGGTAGAAGCACTATACAAGAATGGGACATAAACCCTGACTGAACTACTGTACAGTCAGGCAAGAAAGCCATTAGATGAACATGGGTCTTCAAAATAAAAAGGGATAGAGAAGGAGAAGTGCAATGCTATGAGGCAAGACTAGTTGCCAAAGAGTTCCTGGAGAAATACAAAGAAGACTTTGACGAAACCTTTGCTCCTATTGTCAAGCACATCCCAATAAGAAAGCTCCTGAGCGTGGCAGCCTCCAAACAGGTGCCAGTCAAACACCTAGATGTCAAGATTGCATTTTGACATGGAGAGACTGCAGACTGAAGAGAGATTGTACATGAAACGGCCACCTGACGTCACTAGCCAAAAACATCTTGATTTTGTCTACAAACTAAGAAAGGCCTTCAAGTTTATCTAGAGATCAAAATCCAAAGTAATTCCATTCTTACTTTCAGAAAAGGAAAGTCCAGCCCAATGATATCACACTTAAGAGTCAGCCAAAAAACAAACAAAAACCAGACAAAAACAAAAAACACCCTCTAGTAACGTGTTGAAAAAATTCCTTTTGAAATGTCTCCCTATCATTATATTTTCCACAACTGTCATAAGCCCCCATGCATTTGCTGAAATCCAGTAGAAAGGTGGAACTATAGTAGGCCTACTGAATCAGTGGGGATTTGGTAAACCATCTCTTCCATAAATTTCATTGCTTCAATGGGCCTAATCAGCTTACTGCTGGATTTCAGCCAATAAAAAATAACAAATGAGAAACTGGAAGTTTTCTGGGTTTTTTTTTTTGTTTGTTTCTATTCAAAAATCAAAAGAAAAAAGAAGCTAGCCATTCCAAATATAGCGAACACAATTGAGACAAAGCTGCATCTGCGTACCTTCACTAGTAGCGGCATTCTTCTGGGTCTTGGTTGGAGTGTGATCTGTACTGGAACTCACGTCGGATGAGATGCTTGAGCTGCCTTTATCTAAAAAGGAAAAAAATGTAGCATTAGCTCGCTTTCTTAATGACCACACATTGTAGGCTACAATTTTCATCCTATGTTTGGGGTCCTAAGAGAAACAAGAAGATTTCAGAAATATACAGAACAGAGAAGGCACAAGTCCCCATGGAGGTTTACAGCACACGTATACAATAAGCACAGTAGCCCTAATCCAATATATTTACTTTAAATGCTCATTCCTCCTTGAGCAGCAATCACCACCGCTGCCACCACACCATAACTACCTGCCATTCAGCAGCTTTTTAGAAAAAAAAGATTAGTGACACAGCATGGAGGGCTAGCCTTGAAACAAGGTCAAACATTTCATCTGACCACACCCGGGCTGAATTGGGAGGAAACAGTGTTTTTGTAAAGTAGTATCAAAAGCAGCTGAATAAAATACACCAGCTCCAACCCATTCCTCATCTTCAAATACTCTGCAGAACAAGAAAAGGGTGTTATTCCTATTTTTAAATTTTAATACTCTTCAGTGCATTGCTATACAGGGAAAACCCATTCAAAATCAAATAGTGTACAAGACAATAGTTAATTCTGGGAACTGTGCCACTCCTTCATTTTGAACAAGGATGCATTTAATCTTTCAAAAAGTAAGAATTCCCCTCTCATTCAATCTGCCCGTCCACTAAATTTTATTAAGGTCTTTATTTTTGCTGCAATAATAAACTGCAGGCGACTTCATATGGAAAATCTTGAGAACTAGAAGCAAGTTGAAGCTCTCTCTCATCTTTCACACTCTCAACATAGTTTTCATAGTTAATATTGCACAGGCATATATATGGAGGCACATAAGCAAAAACATTTTCTGGTCCAGTAAAACTATGTAAATATATTTGCAATGTTGTTGTAAAGTAATATGTGCCAATTTAAAGAAGAACAGATGTATCAAAACAAGCCCAATATTAATACAAGGAGACTCAGAATCATATAGGTTTAAAAACACATAGGTTTAAAAACAGATCTGAAGTCCAAGTTTTTTTCCTTCTATGATATTGCTATCTAAAATATCAGAAAGAAGGGTTCTCTCTCTCTTGCTCACTCGCTCGCTTGCTCTCTCGCTCTCACTCTCGCTCTCACTCACTCACTCCATGAGATCATTTCTTAAGAATAAATAGTTAATTGCATTATCTGTGTGTGTGTGTGTGCGCATACTAGACTACATGTTTACACAATGAGCAACTGAGAGAGATACTGACTTACATTCAGGGCAAATTGGGAGAGACCACACAGGGAGTTTCTTCCCATTATAAAAACTGCACAAGAACATGAAAGTTACAGTCCTTGTTCAGACTCTAACAATAGCTGCTCCTGAACTGGCAGTAGAACACTATCAAAAAGGTGAATAATTCGGGTCAGCACTGTGATTAGGGTTAGGGGGTTAGATTAAATGCACATTTCTGTGTTTGCTTTACATCCAATGGCTAAACTGTTGCACACTTATGCTGGCAGAAAAGAAATGGTGTAACTTTAAGAGACAAATTCTCACTAATTAATGAATCTCCACTTGGATTCCTAATTATAGGCAAGTTACACACAGTGAGTATAATAACAGGCTGAAACCATTCCAAACTTAGCAGTGGTAGGATGATGCACTAGAATCTACAGCATCCCCCTGCCACTGCCCAACTGTAAATGTCTTTAGATTCCCTCTTCTTAAAAGAGCGTTCCAATATCTGGAACTAAATTCATAAAGAAAAGGGAAAGAAATAATAAGCAGATTGAGAGATAGTTGATCTGTCTCAATTTGTCTTTTATGTCCGCAAGTCCATTATTATGCATCTTTTCATAATAGATATTTGAAGGAAACACAGGTTATGAAGCCCAGCACAGACAATTACATACATTCCCCCATTTAAACCATAGTTTTGCAATTGCAATTGCTATCGCAAAAAGATCATCGTAAAGCGGATTTGTCGTAATGCGGGGCAATCATAAAGCGAGGCACCACTGTACTATGGCTGGCACAAAACAATTGCTACTACGGTTAATGAATGACAAATGCAAGCAAGGAGTTCTCTGGTCTTTGGATGGAGAAAGAACTTCAGCTACAATCTCCAATGCAGTCCAATATTGCACTGCATCCGGGTCTAGAAAACGTATGTTTAAACCCTATTCAAGAATAAAAAATCAGCACAAATGGATTTGGAGAAATACAAACTACAGTCAGAAGAAATGAAATTCACTTAATTCTCCCATGTTTTCAGACATTTTGTCTCATCCCTTGCCACGTTTCTATTTCTAATCCCAAGTTAAAAAGAACAATAGTGTTGGAGGGGCGAAAAGAGTCAACCACAAACATTCAAATGATCTAACTGGAAGATAAAGGACAAAATAATGAGAGGCCACAGCATATGGTATGAACATTATCGGTCTTAAAGTCCTATAACAGATGATATTGCAATCATGGATACACAATATCAGACTTAAGAGATTTTAACAGGTAAGGACTTGTGGGAAACTCATACTTGGAGGTACTAAGATTCCCTTTGTGGTGGTTTGTTCTGCCACTCTTTAGTTTCTTCAAGATGGGCATTGTTGTTATAAGCCAAAAAGTTACCTCCAGTTTATCGTCACCTTATGAATGAGTGATCACCATTTACTAATACTCCTTTAAGTTCCCCTTCAGGCATGATTATAGCAGGAAATGCACTGACATCCAGATACTATTTTCTTTATCTCATTTTGCTCCACTCCTTGGTTTATTTTTTGTTCTTGGTTGTTCTGGCAAACAAGCATCTTAGCTTGATGTTCCTTTTTACAATTGAAGAGATAGTTAATTAAGTACGTCCTCTGAATGGAGAAACTGCCAAGTATAGTGCAAGCTGTGCTTCCCTTCACAGCAACCACAGCAGAGCTAGAAACAATTAAACTGATTAATTAATTCTTTTCAGGCTAGAGAAAATAACAAATTCCTCCCAAATACTGGGTGAGTGGGGGACCTGCAAAAAGGCACAACTCAGCTGTCACTTCCTTTCACAGATTGTGGCTTCCTTTCCAATGCCTTAGTAGCCCATCGCTAACCTGGCTGTCTGGATAGCTCAGTGAGTTGGAGCACCTGGCCAGAAGTTCAATTCCCCAGTGTGCCTTGTAGGAGAAAAGCCAGCCTGTGTGGCAGTGGCAAATTCACATGCTCCCAGGGTGACCACAGAGGAAAGGAATGGTAAACCATTTCAGGGTACTTTCTCTCTAGGAAACCCTGGAAAGGTTCACCATAAGTTGGATTCTACATAAAAGCACCTTATGATTACCAAAGCTAACCTGCCTACCTCCTTATGGGAAAGATTAGTGCTATGGCGCTTCACCCATCAAATAAGAAATAGGGGGAGTGAGAGAGATTAGAAGAAGAGATCAGAGTATCCCTGATCTTATCACTGAATGTATTATTCCCCACCCTCATCCTATTAACCCCTAAGGTTTTTTTTTTAAAAAAAATGCTTATGGATGCAAATTCCATGATACATGGGAAAATTCCTTAATATGCCAGAACAAAGAGGGTTAATTAAACATACCTCATGTTTAAGAGCCCTTAGTTGCAGGTTTTCAGGATAGCTTGCAAAAGTTTTTTTCTGGGCTACATGTCCTATAAGACCATGTGAGCTTGCAAACCATCCTTCTTTTGCCTGGAGGCCATGGGTCTTCCTTAGGAGTCTTGTCTTATTCTCAGAAGACACTTCAAAGCACTCTTATCCCCACTGTGGGACCAAGCTGGACCAAATGGGCAGGTATGCCCTGGGCTTTTCCTGGGTTTTTTTCCTGGGCTGCAGGGAAAGCCAATAGGAGGCTAATTGCTTCTCTTCTGCCCTCAAGACTTCGAGTACTAGTGAAAGGTTATATTTTTGTACTTCTCTCTTCTGCCAGTTTGGCAAGGAAGTAGGGGGCACAGACCTGGGAGCATAGCCCAAGTGTAGCTATTCCCAGAGTTGTAGCTTCCACTCTGCCCCTCCTGAGTGGAGAATATTATTGAATATGAGTATAACCTCCTCCCAATGCTGTGTATATAAAAGACTACTGTCAGGCAGCTTTTCAACTCTATAAAAGCCTTGGAAAAACAAAAGCCTTTCTCCAAGTCAGCCCTTACATCCCCAAGGTGACGGTCACCATGCTCCAAGCCAAAAAACACTGGAATGAACTCTTAAGAGCCTGGCTGATAATGCAAGAGATTTCCTTTCCAAGGTCACAAGGGGTTGGATAAACTGTTTTCTACAATCCAGATCCAATAAGACATGGAAAGAAATGGCTCGTGGCTCTTGTTTTCTGGGTAGATTTCCCTACAGCTCTATGAACACACCGAGCCTTAGCAAACTTGGATTCCTCCAGTTCTGGATTTGTGGTGCTCTACTGTACAAGCACCCTCAAAGAATATTCAAGCCTCAATGCATTTGGCAACTCTCACAACCACAGAAGTGAGATTGTGATCACTTCATGGTTGTGTTTGTATGTGCGGTTTCTTGCTCCTATAACTGTGAACATATCCTTGAAAGTGTGTGGGGAACAGGTCGACTACAAATCCAAAGGGAGTTTGGTAGATACATCCAACAAGCATGGAGTATGACATCCATTTATCAACCCTCCCCACCATGGCAAAAGTACAAAAATTCATTCAAAGGAAATGTATGTTGATTTGCTAAATTTCAATCCAATATCTTTTCCAGTTGCACTGGAAAAGTTGTTCTGATTCCCCACTGTGCCTCTTGAGGCAACAGCCAGCCTGTGTAGTCATGGGTGAGCTGCACGGTCCCAGGACACCCCTAGAAGAAGGGAATGGTAAACCACTTTGGTGTATTTTCACCCACTTAAAAACTGGAAAGAGTCGCTATGAGTCAGAATCAACTTGATGACACACAATACATATTTTTTAAAAAACAAAAAACAATCACACACATCCCCAATGACCTGCTTCTGGTGCAGGGAAAGAGAACATATGGCCCTCCAGTCTTGTTTAAATGCACTTCCCCTTACCATTGACT